CCCAGGGAAGGGCTCTTAAAAACCTATATTCAAACTCTAACATACCAGAAAGATTGTTGAACAGAAGTAACTTAGCGATTTTGCTTTTTCTTTACTCAAGATGAGTATTTGTCAGCCTGCTGTAACTAACAAAGAATTTTGACACAGTAGTACTTTTTTAACTCTAACAAAACCACAGAGAACTGTATCAACCAACTCAATCACCAACATGATAGCAACCAAATATCTATTATATATTTGAAATCCTCTTTCCCCTTCACAAAAGGCCACCACTCTTTGAAACTTTTCTCCATTCTCAAGCTGTTTTGATTTTAGTCAAATAGTCTGTATACAAGCCTCTTTTTACTTTGCATAAATGTGTTCCTTTTTTTTTTTTTTTTTTTTTTAAGGGGCACGTGTGTTATTGCAGTAGAGAGCAGCCCAAAAGATTCACACCTGATTTTATTATCACATCTGAGAATGTTTGGCTTACGTATGCTTTCCAAACACTTAAAATAACAATAATAAAAAAAAACCCCACAACCCCAAGACTGAAACACAGTTATTAGCAAACAAGAACTAAGCAAAGATAATGAAATGGCAAGATGAACCTTGATGGATAAATAAATTATTCTATACAACTCATATGAAGTACTAAATTTAAAAGCAATTGCAATTACAAATGAACTTAGAAGTTAATGCAATCTTTTACAGCAATCTAAATGTGTTTATCACCTACTAAGTCTTGATACCTTAAGAATGAAAAATAAATTTAAAGCCCAAGTCAGATAACCCAGTGCATCTCACCAACAAGATAACCATTTGCAGATTTTTGAACAAAGGACCCATTTCACTACATGCTAAGTTTTATGATGAATTTTACAACACTGTCAAACAATTTCACCTTTGTGACAACTTTCAACATTTTTTTCCCCCTGTGCCTTCTCATGCCTCTCCAAAATGCTGTATTTGGTAATGCTCAAAACTCTGAAAACCCAAGTTAAAGTACACAGCACTTCAGCTCCACTCAGCCCCTCTCTGGGGCCAGCACTGCTTACAGGAGCCATCTGCATGAATTCTGGGTGCGTTTACCGTGTGACGCTAACGAAGGAGAGCGCTCAGTGAGTCTGGCTGACAGTATAACTCTGTTACAAGGACATCTGGGGATTATGATGCCTGGCAAAACTGCATCTGTAACATGCAGGGATTAGGAAGGAAGGAGATAATTCACTGGAGGGGTGCTACCATCCTTACACATTTGAGCAGACAGGAGAGGGAATAGTTTCACTTGTAATTTGACAAGTAGGCACTAAAGTAACAAGCCTTGTCTTTGAGACCCAAACTAGTACATCAGCTTGTACTGTACCACATGCCATCACTCCAGAATAGTGCTGCACTGAGCTAGGCAATTACACCTTCTTAAATATGTTCCACTGCAGGAACACTGTGTCCACAAGGCAGCATTGCCATGTTTAATTACTACTACACTACTTGCTTTCTAATTCTTTTCTAAATCTGGCTTTTTTTTTGGCGCCAAAACTTATACCACTTCCTAAAGCTACTGAAATGGCATACTGACACCTAAGGTAAAGGGGAAACAAAAAATACCAATATTTATAACAAAACAAATTATATCTCAAGAGAGTTACATATAATGTATATAGCAAAATAAAAAGTATGAGAATAAGGAGTGAAACTGTATTTCAGTAATTCAAAAGCAAACAAATCAAATCAGAATTACTCAAAACTCAACGCTACAGACCAAAGAGCTTCACAATTAGACTTGCACATCAAAGAAATCTAACCCGCTCAAATAACTGCAAGGCATCTCAACTATAAAGTAGTGGCACCATGTGTATAAATGAGACATTACTGTATTTGAATTAGAATAAAAGTAATCTCAGTCATAGGGTTGGGGGGGTAGGCCTGTAATTTTCTCTGCCATTCAGTTTAAAAAACGTAAAAAGAGTAAAGTTAAGAAAAGAAGAAAGACGAAACAAAAGCGGCAAAAGTATATCAGTAAAAATTAAACAGAAACATACCACAGCAGGTAAAATTATTTTATTCCCTTAAATTACAAGCAGAAAGGCAACCAAACTAAGTTTCGTTTCTTGACTGAAGATGTCAGTAAAAGTTCAAGATCTGTAACTGCCAAAAGCAACTATCAATGGTTCAGCCTCTTCCACTCTCTTAAAATCACTTTTAGCTTTCTCCTCTTCCTTCCAAAGGGACTGAGCTTTTGTATTCTCACTCTTGAGAGAGCTTATCTCCATTCTCCACTACACGTTCCATTGTACCATTTATTTTCTCCTGTAAATCCAATTGTTCCTATCGAGGGGCTAAAACTGTGGATGGTGAGAGCAAAAGCCCACAGAATGGAGCTACTCAGACTTCTATCGCATGAGTATCTGCTAGTTTTCTATATGGAGATGACTGGCTTGGTAGACCAGTGACAGCAGTGAATGTTGTCTACCCTGACTTTAGCAAGGCCTGCAGCGTGTCCTGTAGTGTCCTTTAACCAGATTGGTAACATATGGACTAGGTAAGTAGACAACAAGGTTGGAAAAAAACTAGCTGGACCACCAGGCTGAAAAGGTTGTACTGAGTGGTACAAAGTCCAGCTGGCAGCTGGTTACTGGGGGCATCCCCCAACTGCTGATACTGGGGCCAACAGTTTAACACCTTTATTAACAACCTGAACAAGTTAACTTAATACACTTTCAGCAAGTCTGCAGATGACACTAAACTGGATTTGTTCACTCTTAAGGGAGTGAACTAAAGGGAAAAATGCTACTGCTGTTTTCAATTACTTAATGAAAAGATACATAAATAAGATGAGCCGGGCTCCTTTCAGAGAAGCACAGCGATAGGACGAGAGGCAGTGGACAGTAAATTTCAACATGGGAAATCCCGATTAGATGATGGGAAAAACATTTTCACCACGACGGTGGTTAAACACTGAAACAGACATCCAGAGAGGGTGTGGAATCTCTATCCTTGGATATTCTGGGGTACTGATGGGAGAAAGTTGGCGGAGTACCACCTTCACAACATTTCTATCCTCTTTTACAGCAAAAGCTAATTATTAAAAGTTATGAAAACTACCAAGAATCACAGAATTTGAACATTAATAAGTTAAAAAGCTAAATAAGGAATATTTTGCAGTGTTTTCCTTCTTGTTTCTTTTTAAAATAGAGTTAAGATTGTTAAAACGTCATTAGACTACATAAAGCTTGTTCCAGAATTCGCCTGGTAAAGGTCTTAGTAACACGACAGCATAGCCCTAGAGCATTCATCTGTTCTGAAAAGTAGATGCAAGTCATCACTCTGCATTTGCCAGCCGTGCAGTGCTGCATGTACTATGAATTCATGTGGTTTTCTGGCTTCTTTGTGAAGTGTGTACTGGAGAACCTCTATTGTATTTGCTCCCCGAGTTGTGAGGTGAGAAGACATTTACAATATTTCTTCTAAGCAATCTTCTCTCTACGAAGAGAACACCTTACTTGATATCTAACTGTCAAAGTAAGTGAAAGAAACTGCGCAGGATTATTATCTCTATGCTATAGTTGGAGAAGCAAAGATTTGACAGTTAAATTACTTTCTCAAAGTCAGAGAACAAGTAGCTGAATCAAGCACAGGAAATTAATACAAAAATTTCCAACTTCCAGATTCTATGTTGGCAGTGAGAAAGATAAGCCACACATTTGCCAATGAGAGAAAATACATATGCACATACAAAGTGTTTCTCCTACTGGAGCACATACACTTTTTTTTTTTGGGTAGCTTCTAGTCATTTATGATCTGAAATGGCTGAGGGGAGCTAGATGTAATGAGAAAATGAAAATCCCTTCAGAATGCAATGCAAGAGCCCTGTTTTACACTTACTAATGTAAAGTCACTGTGCTCTTCCTTGTCCATTTCTAGGTACATCATTCCCCCTCAAAAAAGAATTTGCTTGACTGCTAAATAGGAGATGACATGAGCACTTGTACCATTTACAGAAAGAAATCAACAAACCCTTTTTGAGCTTTAGGCAAGCCTCTTCCTACATTAGCATTAGGGCAATTTAAAACAATACTTGAAATGCTTTTGCAACATTTAGCTGAACTCAATCATGACTACTTCTTCACATTTACTGAAATAAGTTGGGGTAATCTTATTTTTAAATGCGCGCAGCCCTAAATTGCAGATCTGACCACTGAGTCACTGCCTCCTTTCCAAATCCATCTGTGGTTTCCCTGGTCAGACAAAATGGTCAAAGTTCCTCTGGCCAGCAGAAGAATTAATAAAACAACGCTTCCAAAGTAAGAACAGACTGACCTTATATCACATTATCAACTGATGCTCTAATTGGCAAGCCAGAACTCTGAGACTCTTGTCCCTTCCAAGGCTCAGACATGAAGTAACAGAAGGAAAAACCAAAGGCGGTTCCAAAGCAGCTCATGGGACAACCTGACACAACTCAGCTGTGATCAATCACATCCTTTTGCAAGATAAAGGCTGAAGTGTTCAAGCAGGTGGGCTACTGGCAGGCAATCCACCTCAACAGAATACAGAGATAAATGACATTTACTTTTTCTTACCTGATATGTGTTGCCGGAAGGGACTCATACTGGCGAGAAAGGAAGAGCTCTCTGTGCTTCAGCTGATGTTTCTGTTTATCAGTCAAGTCAACCTCAATTGTAGTTTCAGACTCTTCTTCAACTTCTTCTGCAGAGAAGCAGAGCGTAGGTCGAAATTAACTCTGTTGCATAACACCATTGCAGCCATTTCACCTGACATACCCCCACCACTTAGCAACCTCCCTTAGTATTTCAAAGAAAAGGTGAGTTTAACAAGACTACAGTTTATGTAACTTGACAGAATATTAAGTATTTTGAATTCTATACCTTCTACTTAAACTCTTTAAAAAATCATGCTCCTCTCCCACTGCACTATGCATTGATGTCTTTCACACAGGTGTAAGAACGATCCTGACAACATTACTCATTCTTTTTTCATCTTCTTTCATCTGTTTTTTCTCTGGGGGTGCCTCTTGCTTGCTGACCAGTTCTGGTTTAGATTTTCTGTTGCTGATATTGGTATTACTAAAACTTTTACAGAAGTCCTGGGGAAAAGTCTATGAACAGAAATTTACTAAAACACAACTGCAGTCTAAGACTACCAAATTGCAGTCTAAGAAAACTGAAAAAGCCTATTGGCTTCCATTATGTTAACCTCATTATATACAACAGAGTTTATTTTCATGTTGAAATAAGATTTAAAATTATTTCTATTTTAAGCAAGACAGCACTATTTAATCTAGAAGACAGCTTCTATAACAGCAAAACGTAAATTATATAATTCTTTTTGAAGGATGTTTTCAGTTGAAAACTATCTTTTATAGTTACTCTAATCTGAAATTCTCTAATATTACCTTGTATGTGATAAAACCAAGGAAATCATTCCCTTTTAAAGATTTAAAACAACTGTAAACTGGGAACATAAAGAAAGAAATAAAAGCAGATACTAGAAAGTGTCACATACAGAGTTAAAGAGCAATGTTCACAGTGGTTGCTAACACAAGATGACAGGGTCTCCAAAATGGCTACCCTGGAATCTTCATGGCTGAAATCTGCCTTCCTAGCGGATTCTTGGAACATGTGGAACTGGAATCTATACTTCCTCTAGCTTCCCAGAAAGGACAAAAAGTCTCCGTGAATACTGTATGCAAAAATACAGACACTTTAATAACTTCTCTAAGATTAGGCAATTTTCTACCTGCTAAATTATCCATCAGCTGCAAAAGCCACTGTACTTTATAAAATGTGTCTCAAATTAAAAAACAAAACCTCAGCATCAGACAGTATTTCACATAACTCCCTACAACAGATCACCTCATCCGAAATTTTTACAAACAACCTACAGACACCATCTCAAAATGAAGCCTGCCTGTATCCTCCTGGCAACCACAGTTCGCTCCAAATGCAACATTTAATTTTATTTTTTTTTAATCATGCCTGTATGTAGCTCATTCCACTTTGAATAGTTCTTTCCACGAAAATGATAAAACAATACATTCTGATATAACCAACTTCTTCAAACCCAATTCCATACACTTTAAGTCTATTTTGCTGTAGACCCGCCCAGTCACCTTCCTTGTTTTGGCATGTTTTGCAGGGACATAGAGTAAGAAAAACAAAAATGAAAACAAGACACCCTCCCAAGTCTCGCCTGACACCCCACAGCCTCACTTGACACATATAGAGGTTCAAGTCAGACCACAAGTCAGGTCAGAATTATTCTGGCATCTATAACACTAACAATAAATAAAGCTTAAAAAACCTGTGCAAAGGCAAAGCATTTTTTTAATTAAGCAAGTAATTAAAGAAAAAAATAGAAGTTAATGTTAAAAGGTTTATGTTTCAAGCAATTAATATCTACAACTTATTACAGTAAGCGACCATTACAAGCTACATATGTATTTCAAAGTTGTTCTTAAAATACCAAGACATGCCAGTGGTTGCTTTATTGGTATTGTTTGGGTTTTTTTTTTAATAAATGTACTGCTTGTAGTACTCTACACGTCCAAAGTTCTCAGTTGGCTATTTATTTCCTCTCTCCTTCCTGAAAAATATCAAAGCAAGGTAATCATGTTATAACCATCTGAAAACATCTGACGAAAAGCAGTCCCTTAGAAAGCAATCTAGGCATCCAAACACAGGTGTCTGGGGCCATTTTAGATTGACATATCCAAAACATCCGACTGCAGATACGGCACAAAACACAGGAGAATATGTGCCAGAGATGATATGCCAGCAAGTTTAAATTGGCTTTAAACACCTATGCTCAAGTATCTTAGTAGCTCCCTCAAAGTAAGAATTTAAATTAAAAAATAATTTAAAAAAAACCCCAAAACTTGAATTGTGTATTTATTGTACTAATCTTACATAAGCCAATAAAGTGTTGATCCAAGTGCCTGAAGCTGAAATTAAATGTCTCTTACACACATCTCAAACCACTCCAAACCTAAACATGAAACAATGTTACTTTTTCTGTTGTATTTTTAGAAATATGTATGTTTTACTCCTGATGATCTGACAAGCACAGGAAGTAGAACACACCATGGCCAGATACAGAACAGTTCCACTCTTCACACAATGTAATTTATCACCAGGACAATTTTACAATTTTCTTTTTCAGCATTATAAAAACAATGCTAACAGTAGTATTAGCATTTAGAAATACAAGTAATAGTTTGCCCCAGCAGTAACACAAATGCGTACCTAGGAAGGAAACACTGGATAGCATAAAGAAGTGAGAAAACTAAATTTGTTTGATGGCAAATACAAACAGGAAACCAATCTGCTTGATGGCAATACAAAGAATTCTGCATCTCAACAAACCTTTACATAGCTGCTTTCAAACCAGGTTTTTGCACAGATCAGACCTTAACACCTATTAGAAGAAAACTGGTAGAGCATTTCCAGTACTTTTAGAGATCTCCTCACCTTTTTGACTCAGATTTGTGGCACATGTGAAATTTTATTTGCCATCCAAGGAGAGGTCATTCCTGTCAAAAGGAGTGAAATGGAAGGTACCTATAGGAAATCACAATGCAGCACTAAGCTAAGCACATTTTCAGCACTCGGGAAGAGAAATAAAGCAATGGCTCAGAGTGAGTAAGTATTTTAATGGAGCAATAGGGTGATGACATACACAGGCTTCATCATTCCAAGATTAGTCAGGAAACAAAATTCACCTTAAAATTTTTCAGCTTAGAAATATGTTGAAAGTCTTAGGTATGACTACAAAGATGAATACAATCAGTTTTTGAAAATGACACAATCCCCTTTAGGCCTTGGGCAAAGTTTAAGATAATACTGTTTTGTAGTACTTTTCCTGGTTTACAAGAAATATTTATTATTTAAAGGAAAAATCCTGGAGAGCAAAAGCAGGCATCTCCAGTGAGCTTTTAAAGCTTTAAGTCTATTTATTATACATGGGCTTTCTAATCAGCAATTGTAAATACTTACTTTGATCCTGAAAACCAGCGTGATCTGGTGATACTTTCCATGGCAGTTCTACAGACTTACCCTTTCCCTTTTTCCCTCGGATGTAAATAAGACTTAACTGACAAGCAAGCAACGGATACTGGGAAAAAACTGTAATCCTCACTCATTTTACATATGTGTTACCACTTTAAAAAATGTGATAAACTCTTTTTTTTCCTCTTCCATTTAATTTGTGGGATTCACTGGTAGAAAATGGTGTTGTTATTAGTGAGCATGAGAAGAAGAGACAACTCTCCATGCCACCTAAACTTCGTATACAGTGTCTTTATTTATAGTTAAGTAATGTGATGACTCAAGCTTGCCACTAGGAACTGTTTGTTTTTACAACTAAAATCAAAATAAACTGAGGGCAAGTCTCTAGAAACACAATACACCCATTTAATATAAATTGGTTTAAAAATAGCTAAAATAAATCCTGAAAGACACTTAAAGGTTTATATGCGACTCAAACCACTCTGTGGTTAATCATCAGCTAGCAAACAAGTTAAATTCCTCTAACACATTACTGTTCTGTAACTAAACCAAAATAACCCACCATGTGTTCCCCTCGTCTACTCAACAGAAAGTAAGAGAGATTAGTTTAAACACTGAAGGCTATCTTCAGGGAGAGGGAGTAAATCTTCAGTTTTAAAAGGAAGAAGAAAGTTCTCCCTCTATTGCCACCAAACCGCTGACAGTGTTACGTTCAGCTGGAGGTTGGCTGGATCACAAAACCATGGAAACACAGAGTAGTTCAGGCTGGAAGGGGGCCTCAGGAGGTCTCTAATACAAATTCCTCCTCAAAGTAGGCTCAGCTGTGAGGTCAGCCCGGGTTACCCAGCATTTTATTCAGTTGGGTCTTGAAAACCTCCAAGGACAGAGACCACATAACCTCTCCAGCAACGCAATCATGGTGAAAAAGGATCTGAATCGCTCCTGCTTCAATTTAGTCACTGCAAAGAGCCCAACTCCATGTTCTCTATAACCTCCCTATAGGCACTGGAAGTCCACCTCTTCTCAAAGCTGAACAGCCTCAATTCCCGCAGCCTCTCCTAGCAGGGGAAGTGCCCCACATTGTGGCCTCTGCTGAACTTGCTCTGATTTATCAGGAACTTTCCTGTATCAGGGGCCCAAAACTGGATGCAGTGTGTGATGCAACAGGTGCTGAATAATCAGGGGGGATAATCACTTGCCTCAATCTACTGGCTGATGCAGTGCAGGATGCTGCTGGCCAACTTCCTTGCCAGGGAGCTGCAGTCTGCCAGCACCCCCAGGGCCATTCCCGCAGAGCTGCTCCCCCAGCCCCTCTGTCCTCAGCCTGCATCCTGCCAGGGGCTCTTCCTTCCCAGGTGCAAGACTTGGCATTTGTCCCTGCTGAGTATCTTCAGGTTCTCGACAGACTATTCCTCCTGCTTTCTAGGAATCCCGGACTACCAGCCCTTCCCTAAGCATATCACCTGGTCATCCCCCCCAGTGTGGTGTCACCTGCGAGCATGATGACAGTACATCACATTGCCTGCTCCAGTCACTGATAAAGACAGGACCCCGTATAGATCCTTGTGGACAGTATGAACCCTTAACCACCACCCTCTCACTTAGACCATGTGATTAGTTTTTTATTCACCTAGTTGTCCCTTAATCCAAATCAATTCCAATTCCTCGGCCTGGTGTGGCTAC